CACTCAAGTTCGTTTCGTGGCTCAGTTGACATACCGTTTGGCATGGTTTGCTGGAAGACGCTGGTTCGAATCCAGCCGGATCAAAGGAATTTTGTCAAACATATTGGCATTCAACAAACTTTAAAAAAAGGTTGTATTTTAAGTTCCAAGGTCGTTTTTAATGGAAAACTGAACGGTAGCTTCTCAAATGAGCGATATGACTTCTAATTTACGTACGTACATTTACTAGCTATACCTCTTGCTAAGCGGGAAGGAAAACATCGTAATGACACCTGCTTGTCGAAGAAGGTTCACAACCCCTGAAAAGCCTAAACTCTGCCCTTATAGGAGATTATGATGAGTTAAAAATCATGTACATCTTCACCAGGTGCGAACTTATTGGTTATTAGGGTAAACGGACGGACAGTTTCTGACCACGTAACTTCATAGGCAATTTGACGCTGAGATTATTCAAAACAATGACTAAAGCCAGCACTCTTTGGATTAGGAAGAAAATGAGTTTGTTACAAGGTAACGAAATTTAGACTTTAACCGACTTCAAAAAAGGAGGAGGTTCTCAATACCGACTGTACGTTTTGTTAAGTATGTTACGCGATAATTTGTGAAACGATTTTGATGATTCTTTTCTTATTGGAAAGAGGGTACCTCAGATGTGGTCCCAATTAAATTGGAAGAAAATATTCCACCTCTAAGGGTGGCAAACTAGAGGATGAATGACTTTTGAGGTCGTTTTTTTTAGTACTCTGTACTTATCATAAAAAGCAATCCACTCTAAATTATTTATTATGATATCAAGTGACGGGACAAACAAGTCGTACGCCTGGTGGTAAGCGACTCGCCTATTCGCACCAGTTGTAGTGCTATCAGAGCTTTAATCGCGAAAAGACCTGACACACCTCCTTCCCCACAACACACGTGCAATAAGACATAAAGTTAGTTACGCTAAAATTACAACAAATGGACTTTAAATAAATATTAGACAACATCACATAAAGCCTCTGCCATTGTACCCGTCCATGTGCCTCTAGTTTCACCAGCACCTTTCGAAACCGGAACGCAGTAATGCTCACATTACTGTTTGACAGCAGAAATAGGTACGTAATACTGCACAAGGAGCTCTAATGCTACTATTTGAGTGATGCGCTCATAAAATCTAATAAACTGTGGTGTTCCGGTGGCGTGAGTGACGACAGCGTCACGTCAATCTTAAACATAAGGTTAGAAGAAGACGACTTACGTTATTCTATATCTTGGAGATGCTCATCTAAATCACCTGAAACCTTGCATATAAAGTTCAGAGCCTGTATAAAATGCAAACACAATTGCAAGTGTATTGTACAAATTTGATATTTTACATGCATTAGTGGGCATACAGCCAACAACGTCACGAACATGATATTTCAAAGTACGTATCATAACTCCGGCTACCTTGACCTTGCCCTGCCCTGCGACGAATATTAAAGGTGATTTATTTCATAAGCTACTAGCGGGTTTGTAATTGGACATTTTCAATTCAGGCAGTAATGTTGTGGCTTTGGTGCAATGTAATTAAAGATTTATTTACACAGGTATACTAAACAGAATGACGCTAACGCATAATACGATATGGAATGTAACGTAATATTTTAGAAGTAGATCATTATCCAAATTTATGTCCTAATATTAAAAGTATAATAAGAACAAAAAACGTAAAAAATATATAGCCGGGGTTGGTAACTGTAAAGGTATCTAATTAGGTGATGAAATACTTTCATAGATTTCTCATAGATGGCGCTACGACTAAACAGTCGTTGAAAAAACTAAATGCAAAAGACACGATAACAAGCTCATAGAAAAATTCGTGAGGTCCGCTGGTTCGTTCCGTGGCTTAGTTGGTATAGCGTCTGCCACGGTATGCTAGAAGACGTCGTCGGTTCGAATCCGACCGGATCGAAGAACTTTTTTCTAAGGGTTTCATATTTGTATTAATAATTATAATAAGAATAGTTAATGTTAATAAGTACTAGATGCTAGAAAGGATTACGATCTATTCGAAGTGGACGGATTTAAAATTAATTATACCTACTCATATAAGTAATTATGATTGATTATGAAAGTCGTCATTGTCTTAGAAGTGGACTTACTTTGCAAATATTTTTATGTGAAGTACCTAATCCAACGCTTATCCACAATCTCACGATGTTAAGCGACGTTGTGGCCGACGATGTTATGCATTGGTCTAGTAAATGTCTTAATCTCATTCTTAATTCGAATAGCGCTAAGATCGATGCCAGACGATGCTTTGCGTCGGCGTTGCGACTTGCGTATAAATCAGAACGACATACCACACGGTGCGTTGAAACGGCGCGCCCGCCACCGCAAGCAACTTGGTACACTGGAATCATAGGTTACGACGATGGAACGCCCTAAATTGTACTTTTCGGAAAACAAATACCAGGAGTGTATTTCATTCTCTTGCCGTATGCGTTAGGAACGTGGAAGCAAAGCGGTTCTTGTGTGTGGGTAGTAAGTTAATGACAAGGATAAGTGCTCAAGACTTTAGTTTAAAATTGATGACTTTAACTAACGCTTAAGTCTATATTGGATACCAATTCCAGGCCAAATAAAGTGCCCATTGTTCCTCGACGTAACGACTGAGCTCCCGAATATGATACCATGACACAGTTGCGTGACAGCTTTCTTTAAAACAAACTATCAATAATGGCAGGTGCATTGTCTTTGCACGTACTGAATGCACTATACAGAATTATTAATGAGTTATAAAACAAACGGGTAACTGTCGGTACCTTGTTTGGCAATCGTTGGGAAACGTGATTTCTTAATGTGTGGCTGTGAATTTCTTTTTGCCTGGTTATATAGTTTTGGGACGACTTGAATGAAAGTAAGACAGCCTCGTGGTCGAACGGTTACCATGATAGACTGCTTCCGTGGCCGAACGGTTACCACACTGGACTGTCACGCGGAGGTCGCGGGGTCGATTCCTGGGCCGGGAGAAATATTTGTATGGCATACATTTATTTATCTCGTGAGTTTGGATGTAATTTGTGGTTGTCTATGTGTGTTTCCGTGGCACCCGCGATATTGGATTTCTCTAGGGCAGGGCTATGAGTGTGTGCGTTATTATTATATTATTATTAGACTGAAGTGGGTAGTGAGAAGAATATGTAATGTGCCAGACATCCAAATCGATTACCTCGTCTCAAATTAGAGAACTTGTACTATGAGTACTATCTGAAACGACCAGGATGCAAGTCAAATGGCGATCTTTGCCTATCCTAACGAGACTCCAAAGGTGTGAGTATACGTATTTATGGAAGCAGTTTTATTTTACGAATTGATGACGAAATCGAATACAGAAATTTGAAACGGGCAGCACAGTAGTAATACAAGGCAGATTATTTTTTATTCGTTTCTAAGAAAGAAGAGACCAGATAAAAAAATTTCACGGTATCAGCATTAACCATCACGAACCTTGCATAACGCGAACATCCCACACGGAATTGGGGCCACCCACGACATCCTGTGGGTTCATTTTTTACACGTATACACATGACATCATCGTATGATTCTGTCAACGAACCTTATCGATCAGTTTTAATTGAAGCGATATTAATCAGGATATTTAATTTACCAAGGAAATTGGGTTAATGGTTTAAAAACATCGAGATAACTAAGGAAGAGCCCGATGAGAGATATACGGGTAATTGTATCTGTCTCTATATAAAATACCTTTAAAAGGTAAATAATAAGAGTTGTCATAAATTCCTTTTTAATTTAAGATCAAATCTTAAATAAACAAAATATTGACAATTTTTTTTAAATTTTGTCTACAGCAGCAATTTTTAAAATTAAAAAATTTGCTACGTACTGGTACATAAAATCACGGTCAACCAACGTTAGACGTAAATATACTGGGTACAGAATGCTTCTTCAAACACAAGTTTATTATTACGTTTTTACGTCGTAAGAATGAGATCATCGACCGAATGTTTGGATTTCTTATCAGTCATCTTCGATTACTTCGTGCGCAACAAGGTCATAAATGCAGTTGCAAAACAAGTTTAGAAGTTTGTAAGGCATTCGATAAACTTGCAAAACTTTATATAAAATTATTGACGATTTTAGTATAATGCGATAATTATAAACATTTTCAGCCGTGAACTATTTAAAATGTAGACAGGCGAGAGGAATTTTGATAACTGTAGATTGAAACAAAAGATAATATATTAAGTTGGAGTACCTCAAGGGTTCTTCATAGGACTAAGACTTTTTAAAAGCGTTGTGTTCGTAAATAAAATTATTATTATTTGCCTTTTAAAGTTTGAGTCACACCCAGAAGTTCACAAATATTCAGACACAATATTATGTATATAATCTAATAAGTAGTAGGTATCTCGGTATCAATAATTTGACATTGTCGTCGTTATTTTCATTATCAGTTCAATAACAAATTACTAATAAACTTAGAATAATAACGCAATACAGTAAAAATTTGGATGTTTTGACGACAAAATTAATGTCGTTCTTATCATTATTAGAACAATAACAAATAATCAATACATGTAAACTAAATATTTCATTATTTTGACGATGAAATTAATCATGATAATTTAATTGAGGATAAATCATGAACGCTTCTGTTATACGCCATGTTTTAATTTTACCAAAGTGCAAACTATAATAGTGACTAATTATTTATTGATACACATGACATCATGGCACAGACCGCAAGTGCTGTTACGCCCGGTTAAATTATGTCAAACCAGACGTTAAATTATGGGCAAGTCTCTAATGAACTTGGTTAAGTGATTAATGCTACGCCTACCATATAGGTAATCAACTCTTTTACAGAGGATTTACTTAGGGCGTTGTTTACCACTATAACAAAAGTCTGCTAGACAATGTGTGAGTTGGGCGCTAATTTTCTCCCAGACTTTAAATAGGAACAAATCCAAAATTGTCCGTTTTTTAAATTTAAAAAAAAAATTATATTGTTACAGTCTGACGCAGTCTGCGGTAGTTGCAACGCTGTGATCCAAGGAAGGGTAAGTGTACTTATTTCATTTGATATATTTTTGGTTTACATCAAAACTTGACGACAATTTGTAGATACTGTCTTACTCTCTACTGACCAAAACATTTAGGCCAAACTTAACAGCTCAAAAAATATTACCAACTCCTCCACCTTTATATGCCAAATTATACCATTTTATTTTAGGTTAATCATAGGTGATCAAAAAACTGACTGGTTGTAATTCCGATTCTTATGATAGATTCTTTTTATAGAACCTGTCTGGGGTTCTATTTATTAGCGAAATGGTATAGCTGAAGAACAAAACAACTTTAGCACTTATCAGCGTGTCGAAGTTAATGACAACATTGGCCTCGAAACCCTACCTATATATCTTATCAAAATTAAATATAAGATATTATATCAAAATGAAATTTTTCACAGTTATCAAATTATTAATACTTCCTACGAGATTTGCACTCGGCACTAACACATAATCAAAATCATTATAGACTATTGGGTAGGTTTTGGAACGTTATCGTGTTGATAATGCTTTTATTTTAGAAGATGACGCTATTTGGCACTTGTTTCAACTTTATATTGCATTTGATTATTAAATAATTCCGGTAATATGAATGAAAAATGTAATGAAAACAGTCTTTATCGATTTGGAAATGAATTAAAGACATGACGAACATTTTAGAAGATTGCGAATAAGAAAATTTTAAATTGCAACTTCCAATAGCTGTGCCAATCGACCTAAATTAAAAAGCACATCTGTAGTATAAAAAATTAATTAAAAAAATAAAAACGTTAGTCCTAATGTCAATCAGATTAAGAACGTGCTTAAAAAAGGCCAGGTTCCGAGTATCAATAATTAACGTGCGAAGCACGTGGTATGGGAAGAAGATGTATTAGATGTAAAAAACCCAGATGGAAAAAATAAATAAAACATTATGATAGTTATGTAAGTGTAAAACCGAGAAACAATTCTGCATCTACAACGTTCACTGTCGTCATTGACTACCGTATGCGACATACTTGTAGGTGTAAGTGAGTAAAGTGTAACATTCTCCGTTGATCATCGTATGTCTAATTTTTTAAATATATTAAAAAAACTTATTAATAGGACGAGATTGGCACGAGCCACAGATCAAGATACGAGACGCTAAATCAGAAATTAAAAAGCCAAGCAATCCCAAAACAGTATTCTTTGTAAACGAAGATTGTTTCAATTTCCGTCCCTTATTTGATCCTTTCCGTGAAAACCTTCAGTTTATAGGAAATATATGATCTAGCCCTTAAATGCCATTGGTTGATAAGAACCAAGCAAATTGTGGATGGTTACTACTGATCGCCGTTGCCTGCACGCACGTTTAAACGTTGCGAAAGCAGTAGTTATAATTTTCTGAGAGATGTTATAATTATCTTAAATCAATACATCTTCGGGGACCGTTGACAATTTCATTGTTTTTAGCAATTGTATGGCTTACAAGAGTGCAAAATTTATATTTCAATACGGTTCAGTCAGGGGAACGGTAGCCACGTTGAGGCAACAGTCGCTGGTTCGAGTCCAATCGGGTTGAAGATTTTTTATTTTTGTTCTAACTTTGTATCAGTTAATAACAAACCAGTGGAGTTTTCACAAAAAGTAGATGAATATCACTATAGTAAAGTAAAAAACAATGATATTAAATAAAATTGAAATATTATATTTCAACAGTTTGGCTCGAGAAAAAAAAACGCAACACGAGACAAAAGAAAAAATAATTAATCACGTGTGTACTATTTTTAAAGATGGAAGAATTCCTCGAAGTGTACAACCGTCAGTTACCAGCTAATCTAGTTTCGTCGATCGACACATCGTTATGTGTCAGAAACCTATGGTCTTGGCCGTGACCGTCCTTGACTGGTGCCACACAGACAAGAAATGGGCAAGCTCCCGGGTTTTAACCCGGTGCTTTGTTAACGTCGGCTTTAAATCCGGTTAAAACCCATTAACGCCCAAACTTGAGGGCAAAAACTATTTATCTACAACTATATATGTGTTGTTTGTTCAAATTGAATGATATTAATACAAAAGTTTGCTTTCTGATCTAGACGTTTTGATTTGTGTTTTCTGTTCAATCGATTCGCTTGAAAATCGCATTGAAGGAAATCAATTCCCAAAATCATTAGATCGTATAAATTTTGAATCGATTTTCATAAAGATCGAATCATAATACAAATTCTTAACAAAGAGAAATAGAGAATCCACTGGGATGCAAGGCATTGTGTGGAGTTGCCTCATTTTCGTCTAAAACATCAAACTACATCGTAACTTGTAATAAATGTGGAATTATAACAAATTCTGCATTCGTCGTTTAATTAAGGGCTAACCGGCGTATAGTTTAAAAACCTGGTTAAACCCCGGGCAAATTGATTAGGTTTTAACCCACTGCCCAGCTCTGGACACAGATGTAATAACTTCTTCGGTATAATTAATAAAGTTTGATGTTATTTACTTGTTTTATTTATTTATGACATGAAAAAGGTTTTCATGATCACGACCAATGAAGCCGGAGACGGGCCAGAAGGTGAAGGGGTGAGGTGCTAGATGCTCATATCAGATCTGGTCTGTGATCATACAAATGTTTAATACAAAGAGCAACCCCCTCGAGTTTCTTCTTCTTGAGTCATCTCAGAGGAATCTTGGTAGACGACTTGAAACAGCGAGACCCACTTTATCAAGTCATTTACGTCTTTTACATAATGATAAAATTTTTACATTTTAAAGAATTTTAGACGGTTCTCGTATGGGTGTTTGTGGGAGATGTCTGGGCTATATAACGCATATGCCTGGTAAAGCAAGGAGCGCTGTATGCTTTCAAGGCACTGAGATTGCACAGCGTAAGCAGGATTCCAAGCACTATTCACGCGTTCTAAGTGACTACGTACAAACAAATTGCGTAATTTTGGTTTTTATCTATAGACAACATGTTACCAATAAATAATCAATATGTAGGTACAATGTAGAGGAAAATATATTTATTTCCCTCTGGGAATGTCCATTCTCGTCTGATATTTGTAGTAATAATTTATTATAAAAAACTATTGGCGTAAAGATTAAAGCGACACCTCTAGTCAGCTGCTGGTAGCTGTAAAGTTACCTGGCTGAGTGATGAAATAGATTCCTTACAGATGGCGCTGCGGCAAGAAAAGTGGTTAAAAACTAAAAAGATCTGCAGCAAGCACATAGAAAAATTCGAAAGGTCTGCTAGTTCGTTCTGTGGCATAGTTGGCATAGCGTGTAGCACGGTTTGCTAGAAGATTTTGCTTCAAATTATATATATTAAAACGAACTAGTGGAGTAATTTCACAAAAATAATTGAACATAATGGTGGTCAAACATGGTGGCATTCAATGAACTTAAAAATTACTATCGGACCTTTTTTTAACGATACCAAGTGACCGGACGAACAAGGCGTGAGCCCAGTGGTAAGTGATATGTGTTTCGCTTACCACCAGGCTACTGTCTTACTTACTGTCACTGCGCCCTGATACTATCTACTTATGTAGACAAGACCCATGTGCGAGTTTTGAAAAAGCACTGAATTTTTTTAAGGATTTCATAAGTGTTCTGGTAAATGTGTGTTTGCTGCTGCAGTCTTTAAAAGACTGCAGCAGCAAAAAAGTAACACATCTTTCCTTTTACGAATTTTCAAGGCCATATCCGCTCACAATATAATAAACTAATTCTCAGTATGACTATGCCGATTAGGTAATAAGGCAGCTGCCTTGACAATGAACCCAATGTTGGTAAACACGTGACTATACGTGCACGAGATATTCTGTTGTAGTAGCGGTGACAGCCCAAGTGAGAAGGCTGTCAATTGAGAGGTTGACGGTTTGAATCCTTTAGGGCATGTATTTATGATTTTTTTCCAAGTTGTTTACATTTGTAAATGTTTAATAGCAATGCCTATCGTTAACGGTGAAGAAAAATAGAATACATTGGTTTATTTCATAATACAGGGCGTCTCATGGCTATGACACGCGGGGGGGAAAGTACCTTAAATACCGTAGCCAGATTTTTTAAAGAAATAAAGATTTCATTTTGATTTTAAAAACAATTTGAACTGCATTTAAAGATTCTTAAATAATCGCCTGCCTGAACCGGGTATCGAACCCGCCAAATGTGAAAAAAAGCACCCGTAATTTTATTATAAATTGTTTTTGATTGTTGTCTTCTAAATAACTTAGCATCATAAATGAAAGGAATACCACGAAATTTAACGTTTAATTAAAATAATTAGGTATATTTAACTTAAATGCTCAAAATGTGTTCCATTGTGTAGTATACAAATTCTTACTCTTTTGATAATTTCTCTTCTTGTTTATTTATTTATCATTCAATAGTGAATGTTTAAAATAATACGTTTAAATTCAGTTTGTAACTGCTGCGCACTTTCATACCGGTTCCAGTAAACTAAATCTTTTACGGGTTTATTTTCCTGAACAAAATTAAATGTTAAATTTCATGGTCTTCCTTCTACTTAAGATGCTACGTTATTTAGAAGAAAACAATCCTTACTGCGCCTTTCGATCCGTGTAGTAAAATTACAATTTTTTTTTTCACAGTTGGCGGGTTCGATTCCCGGTTCAGACAAGCGGTTATTTAGAAATCTTTGAATGCAGTTCAAATTGTTATTAAATTCAAAATGAAATATTCTTTATTTTATTTATTTATTTAAGGTACTACCCCTATGCGTAGCACAATCGTGGAACGCCCGGTATATTGAGTCCCACATATAGGCAAAGGGCTTCATTTTATATTATCCCTTGACTTTACATTTTATTCGAAATCGTGAGGCTGCCTCTGAACCACTCGACAGGAAATTGAAACAAATTAATTTAAAAACTGGCAGTCGACTAATTCTTTAATTTCAAATTAGGCCTAAAATAAAAATGTAAAATAATAATATAAGTCTCATGAAAAAACACTGTATTATTTTGGGAATTTTACGAGCGTTGCGTTTAACTCTTCATTCATGTTTTAATAATCCTCTTTCTCGAATTTCCAGATAGTAACTGCGTTGAATAAGAAGTGGCACCCCGAGCATTTCTGCTGCAACAAGTGTCGCAAGCCAATCGAAGGCTCCAATTTCCACAATCACGATAATGGCGCCGTGTGCGTATCTTGCTACACCCAGCACTACAGCCCACGCTGCCATGGCTGTGGAGATCCCATCACCGACGTGAGTTGTTCAATTAAATTCTATGTACATTTTTTTTTTTTTTTTTACATTTACATTATGTTATATATAATTAATTTAAATTCTTTTACATAAAAATTATTGTAGAAATTCCCTAATACTGTAATAAAGATAAAGATAAAGATAAAGATAAATTTATTTCAATATAACTTAATCTAAATATAAGTAAAAAAACAAAAACAAATGTAAGGGAAGCTAATATGCAATTGGTAAAAAAATAAATAAAAATTAAACCTTAATTATTATACTAATCATAAAGCTATACAATTAATTATTAGAAGCCTACCAGTATAGTTGCGATGCCTAAACTAAGTACATTATTACCTGTATCTTAAGCATCTTGTTTGTGCACAGATTCATTATATTAGTGCTTAAAAACAAAATAGCTATATTTAATTAAGAATAAAACAATTAGCTGTTACAATATAATTATGAAATAACTTCTAGTAAACCTTCTGTTTCATCATAGTTTTTATTTTTAAGCCAGCGTTTGACGGTCTTTTTACATCCCATCTTATTCAAGGCATGAAAATGCAATGTTGAATTTAATTTGTAGTAAAGTAATGTACCAAGGAAGCAGAAGAATCTATGAGAGTGTGATGTGCGAAGTTGTTCACGAGAAGAGAAGGTATTGAGTCGTCTTTGGCAGGATGAGGACTTAGACTCAAATGGAGTGATTGAGTGTTTTTTCAAAATTATTTGCAAGATAAACAGCTGCCGCACAGAAAGGACATCGCACTCGGCTAGGAGTTTGTGGGTAGGGTAGAAAAAAGGACGGAAGTTGCTGACTTTGAGAATAGCTCTCTGCGCCTTTTCTAGGTTTAACAGAGTTGTTTTATGTGCGCCGCCCCATGAAGTAATGCAGTAAAGTAGTAATGATTGACAGAGGGCCAAGTATACTGATTTGAGTAATTCACAGCTAGCCGCATGTCTTAAATTTTTAAAAACATATATTAATTTCCGAACTCTAGCAGTAAGCGCTACAACATGCTGTTTGAAATTGAGATGTTGATCGATTATGACACCTAAATATTTAATATTGACTGTGCTGTCCAAGTTTGGACAACCACTGCCGCAAACTTGAGTCCTTGGACTGGGACAATGATGAGCTACTATTGAGAAAGTATTCTCGACAGGTTGAGAGAGGATGTTGTATGAGAATGTCATATATTTGGTTTTGTCAGTATTAAGTGTAAGTGCATTTACTCTGATCCACTCGGTTACCGAGTTAAAACCGAATTGGGCTTGTGTGAATACGTCATTCCAACTTGAGGCACTGAAAAGTAGGACTGTATCATCGGCGTAGGAGATGATCTTACCGCTAGAGAGGGGAAGAGTGCATAGTTGGTTAATATAGACAAGAAATAGGATCGATCCTAATATACTTCCTTGGGGAACACCGTATTCAATAGGCAATTCATCACTCGTAATTTTGTCAATCGTCACTCGCTGTTTTCTGTCAGAAAGGTAGTCCTGTAAAAGTTTGTGTTGAATTCCTCTAATTCCCAGTGCTTCTAACTTGTTTAAGAGAATTGGGATGGTTACGGTATCAAAAGCTTTTGCCAGGTCTAGAAAAATAGCCAAACACTTATTCTTAGAGTCTAGATTCCTTACAATGTAATCAGTCAGTTCGTCAACTGCGTCGTTAGTTGATAGTCCTGGTCTAAACCCGAATTGGGAGGTCGATAGGAGTTTCTTATTTTCTAAGTAATGTACAAGCCTTTTGTGAATTATTCTTTCAAGTATTTTAGAAAGAGATGGTAATATAGCAATTGGGCGATAATTGTTAACATTGCACTTATCACCACTTTTGTGAATAGGTTTCACAAGGGCTAATTTCAGAACTTTGGGAAATATTCCTGTTGATAAACAGAGGTTGAAAATGTAGGTGAGGTGTGGAATCAAACAATCCTTATATTGTTTAATGAAAGAGCAGGGAATTTTGTCAATCCCAGTTGCACAGTCATTTCTTAACGTCATAATAATATTTTCAAGTTCAATTTCGTCCGTTTCGAGTAAGGCGAGTGAGTGTAATTGTGTGGCGTGAGACGAGGTCATGGTCGACGTCGAAAGTGGAGCGTTGATTAGCGCCTTTTCAGCTAAATGTTTCCCTATATTAGCGAAGAAAGAATTTGCTGCGTTAACAGTTTGCTCTGCATTGACAGAATTAGCAATGAGTTGCAGGGCAGACGATTTTGAGTTAGTCATGTTCGTGATATTTTTGATGACCTTCCATAATCGTTTTTTGTCGTGACCAGCATTTAATATTTGAGTCTTTTCATAATTACGTTTCAATTTTTTTAATAAATTGTTACAGAAATTTCTGTATCTATAATAAGTGGTTTTAATTATTGGATTATTCGGGAACTTTACAAATTTTTTGTGAAGTTTATCTCGATTTCTAATGCAGCGCAGCAAGCCTGGGGTAATCCAAGGTTTAATTATTTTATTGCGTCGCGTAAATATTTTGGTCGTCGTATTAATTTCAATGATTTTAGTTAGCGAACGGACCAAATATTCCATTGCTACGTTTGCATCGGCAGAGTTGTAAATTGGGGACACATCTAAACTTGCAAGGTCGCGAGACACACCTTCATTATTTAGTACTGTATGTGTACTGATAAAATTATGTCTATTGAAGCTCTTTTGTAGGCAGAGTAGTAAAGTATAGTGATCAGTTACAGTAGTTTTTAAAATTATTGTTTTTACGGCAAGAATGGTTTTGGCTAAGATATGATCTATGCAGTTACGATCTCTCGTTGGATGAAGATGGGTAGGGAGGTAACCAAGGGAAGCTGTTGGTTCAAGAATTCCGCTGAGTTGCTATCTTCATTGTCTATCTTAATATCAATATTTAAGTCGCCAAGAATGAATACATTTCGGAATGAGGAAAGTGTTGTCAAAATGTCACATAGAGAGAGTAAAAAATTTCTTATGTTTTTGTACGAGGGAGAGCGGTAAATCGCTACAACAGCAATATCATTCCCAATTTTTCCGATCAAACAGTTAGCGTCCAGAATTATAGGCTCCTCAACTATGACGTTTGGAAGGTCATTTTTTATGTAGAGCGCTACGCCGTCGTTTTGTAAAACATTGCTTTTGTTACTGAAATATGAATTATAACCGTCCAGATGAGGAGTCGATGGTGTATTGAGTAACCAACACTCTGTTAAAACAAAGATGTCAGGTTCAAAATTAGTTGGATTTAACAACGTTAAAAGACCGTCAAAATTACATCTAATGCTTCTAATATTCTGTAAAACTATTTTTAAATTATAAGCAGACTTAGAAATAAACGTGGGGCACTTATCTGGGTCGCATGATATGGATTGAAATTCACACGTCGCATCAATGTCCTGTGCTAAATCATTAACATTAGTGCCCATATAAAGCTGTATTAGGATAGGAGGGCGGCGCTCTAGGCGCCCTCATAATCAATAGTACCTATGTACCTGGTTACTGCGCTTTTCCTAGCTGGACACTGCTCGTCTCCTGTTTTGTGGTTGGCGGGTTTATTGAAGCGTATACAGGTGGCGCACTTCGCGGGCTCCGTATGCTTAGAACACTCCTTGATCGAGTGACCTGTGCAACCGCAGTGGCCGCACGTGGACTCAGTATCCCGGCAGAACTTTGCGGAGTGTCCGTACTGCTGGCATTTATAGCACCTAGTTACTATTGTGTAGTCTCTTACCGGGCAGGAGGTCCAATTAATAAAGACACGCTGCTGTTCTATTAGTGTCCTCCGTATGGGAGCTGTGACTTCAAAAATATAGTTACAGGTGGGCTCGTTCTTTCTGCCTGATTTATGGCTAAGTTTTATAGAGCTTTCTAAAGTGTTTCTGGTGAGGCTGGGGTGCTTATCACTTATATTTTGTTCGTATAAACACTCCAATAAGTCTTTATCTGAGATGGTGGAGGGAACGCCTAGGACTATAACCTTTGGCCGCTTTTTAGTAGCATCTTCTACTTTCAGTCCTGATGTTTTTAACTGTTCTGACTGTTTCAGCTTTATTAAATCATCTTTCCTTTCTGAGCTGATGACTACACCACCACCTTTCGTTTTCCGCATACCACTGATATGCAGTTTCAGTTCCTCGGGCTTTATTAAGTTCTGTAGAATTTTCTTGGTAACGTCACTTGATGTATCTTTATTAGCAGGGTAAATAGCGATACTGCTCGTTTTCGAAGGACAAACTAGGGGCATGCCTCCTTTTCTAACCATATCAGCAAAAGATTGGTTAGATGGTGATGCTCTAGGCACAGATTGCACGCAGTTTTTTAGGTCTTTTAATTGGGCAGCGATATTAACTTGCTCATCCGAAGCATTGATCAAAGTACTGGCCGAAATATATTTTTGTTTCAGAGACTGGTATTGCACAGCCATCTGAGAGGCACCTCCAAGCACTGACCTGCTAATGTTGCTGATTTTCAGCTTTTGCTCAGTGTTAAGTTTCCCATCACCAGCAATAGTGCATATTTCATTCAAACAGTGTTCTATTTGGGCCATCCATTTCTGAATTTCGGGGGTTGAGATCATGTCCTTAGTTGGTGCAGGGCCGGGGACTGCAGTTGAGGAAGGGGTAGGCTCTTGATCCACGTGCCGCCTTACAGGGGGTGGGCTGCGACTCATCATCGTACTTCTGCTGAACGGGCTATTCATACTTCATAATTTACTTGAAGCACAAAGCGCGCGTAATGTCACAAACACTTCAAAACAGTCCGAAAAGCGCTGAGACTGCGTTGACACAGTTACAGTTTTATAATCGTTTTAAATAATAAATAATTAAATATTAAATGCTGGCAGACACGTCTGTCTCTGCCAAGCAAGAGCAGACAATTCGTATATACTTTATTCTTTAACAATTCATATAATTTCGTCTTAAATAATGTAATGGGCAAGTGTTTAATGTCATTTGGTAATCTATTGTAAATTCTGACACACATACACAAACAATTTTGATTATATTTTTCTACCTTAGGTA